CTGTTTTTCTACGTTTATTATACGTTTTTTAAACGTATTATTTCCGTATACTTTCCTTATACATATTATTTATAGGGGTATTATTAATACTAGGGTTTTGCAATTTGATTTGATATTTGAATATTTGATTTGAAAATCAAATTAAATATAAATACAAATTTATATTTGATTCAATTCAATCAAATTCAATCAACTATTCAAATATTTGATTTGATTTGAATTAATAGTAAAACTATTTCCAAAGCTTCTGAGATGGTATTAACTAAGAAAATATAGTAAAAAATGCTTCTACAGCTTCAGAAATGCTTTTTTAATTAAGTAAAACATAGTAAAATACGCCTTCACAGCTTTGAAAATGCTTTTTTATTAAGTAAAACATAGTAAAAACGCCTTCGCAGCTTCAAAAATGCTTTTTACTAAGTAAAACATAGTAGAAAACGCCTCTGCAGCTTCAGAAATGCTTTTTTACTATGTTTTTTTAGTAAAAAAAACGTCTCCGAAGCCGTGAAGGCGTTTTCTACTATGTTTTACTTAATAAAAAAAGCATTTCCGAAGCTGCTGAGGCGTTTTCTACTATATTTTATTTAGTAAAAAAAGCATTTTCGAATACTCATCAAACCAATTTAATTATTGGAGAAGTTTTTAAAGAATCTTCTAATTTGATGAATACGACTGAAAAATCTATTCATATTATTATATATTTTTAATAGATCAGTTTATTTTATGATAAAATTGTGTGATAAACAAATAATTAAATATAAAAAATATTTTTCACATTTTCTTCCATGTGCTACGCGTTGGAATTCTCATTATTATTGTTATTTTAGTTTATTAAGAACAAAGTTTGCTTTAAAGGTAATAATATTTTTATTATTAAATATTATTAATTTTATAAAATTTTTTATTAAAATTTTAATTTTTTTAGATACTTATTTCAAAATTTGCTCCTAGTGAATTTGAATTTTATAATGAATATATAAATGATCTGGAGAATGAAGAAATTTATCATTTTGATAAAGAAACTGAAAGAGAAAATGATAAAAATTTACCACTTGATATTTGTAAAATCATTGATAATGAAATTTGGTGGAAAGAAATTAGACAATTAGAAAAGCTTTTATATCTTTTTTGTGAAGCATTAAACAAATTACAAACTTAAAATGCCTGTCTTTTTGATGTACTTTATAGTTTTGCTTATTTTTATAAAATTTGGCAAGAATATCCTGATCAAAATTTAAGCAAAAAGATGATTTTACAATTAGAAAAACATTTGGATATTTGGGAATAACCTTTATTATTAATTTCTTTTCTTCTTCATCCTGAATATAGAGATAATTTTTTTATTCAAAATGATCGATCTATTTCTTTTGCTCAATTAAGTGAATGGATGTTTTATTATTTTTGTGTTTGGTTTGGTAAAATGCCTACTTTCTTATTAGGTGAATTACAAAATTATAGAAAACAAGATTTTCTTTTTAATAATGTTTCATTAAACTAATTTTGTGATAGGATACTTGGTTTTTGTAATTTTGTATCTGCTTATACACCAGATTTAAGTGCTTTATCTACAAAAATATTTGCAATTTGTATTAATACTACTTCAGTATTACTCGAGTACCCTAGTCACATCAATCTCAAATATAGCAGCCAAATTTCCTCAAGTGGTTATTCACGTGATCTTGGCCTGAATTATAGAATTAACATAATTCTAATCAGAATTAAAACATGAATTTACTGTGCTATATATACGAATATTACGAATATTTTTTATTAAAAATTTTATTTACATATCATGAAACAATGTATTAGGTATCACCCTATGTCTCTTATAACATTTAATTGCATATTCTGCTTACTTTGCATCTATTCCTTTTCGATATGCATCCATATATCTATATGATTTTCTTGCAAATGCCCTAATATGAGATAATAGAACTTGATTCAAAGCAATTGACACAACCTGTTGAAAACCATTCCAAGTATAGTTATAATGTTTACGAAATATTTCTTGGATGCTTCCCAATACATTTCAATGAAATTTAATTCAGGATAAAATTTTGGATAAAAAATCACTTTATGACCTTGTTCTTCAATAACTTCTTGAATCATTCCATTTTGAGCAAGAAAATCAGGTTGATTTTCAAGAATATGCCGTATGCAGCATTGAATATTTTTGGATTCATTATTACGGCAATATCCTATTAAACCTGGTTTCATTAACTGACGTTCTTCTAAAACTTGTTTCATACCCTTTGGTTTTCCTTGGAGTGTTTGATCAAAATAATTATTGGGAAAATTCATATTTTGAACTTGTTCATTAAATTCTGTATTTCTCATTTGGGATTGCTTTCTACCAGGATTCACATTCAAACGTGATGCAACTAATGCATCAGGTGCAAAAGCACCATGTGATGTGGAATTATCAAATGCAAAAATACCGATTACATTTGGATGAGTTGCTTTAAATATGGGAATTGCACATTGAATTATCTTTAATAAAAAAATATATATTTATTAAAATTAATTAAAAAAAAATAATAATAATTAGCAATCAATTTAATACCTGTTCAATTAATTTTTCAACAGTCCACCAACCATCATTATTCTTTCTAGAATTTATCATAATTCGGGCTTCGTGTGGAATTTTATTTCTGATTTCAGAAAGTTTTTGTTCCTTATTTAATTGTAATCGACCAATTGTTTCACAAATAAAATCACTTATATAAATAGCACGTCCTTGTCCTTTCTTTCACAAAGGCTATTCATAATTAGGAGCCCATTCAGAATTTCTCCCATCATTAGAATGAAATGTGGTTTCATCATAGGTAATCAATATGTGAATTTTTTCATCTGGTTGCAATTCGGGATTAATTTGAATTTCCATTTTATCACCCTCAAAAATTAGCATTAATTTTTGATAACTGCATTATAAAAAAAGCATAAATAAGCGTATTTTGTGGCTTGATTAACATTGCATGATTGGTGATACTTACATTTCCATTTCTTTTAAAAAAGTTTTCCAATATTCCACTACATCTTTACTATAGAAAGGTTAGATCAATTGTGTTATTTAATAATCATTTATATATTCTGAAGACCACAAGCGATTGTTGACGACCTTATAAATGCCCTTGTCTTCTGCCTGATCAGCCATAATATCTCTCTGCATTTATTGATTGGTGTTTGAGATCACAGGATCTGGGATTGCTGATTTATGAATAATTCTTTTGTTTAATCTTGAAGTAGAATTAAAAAGTAAATTTATATATAATGTTACTAATGTTCCAATTTTTTTTTTGCAAGTTGGATTTTTAAGCTTCCTAAATAGCATTTAAAGGTAATTATATAAAGAAAAGGCTTTTTTTAATATTCAAGAATATTATTAATGTTTTTATTTTTTTTTTATATTTTATATATTGGATTTCAGATATTTCTGTAATGATTTTGAAAAATTTAAAATTAGATAATTGATTGAAAGCAAGTTTATAATCATTTTTTTTTTTTTTTTTTTAAGAAATATACTTATTAAAAAGTGGTTATTGTAATAAAGAATATTTGTATATTATTTCTTTTGATATTATAGAAAGGTTATCAATTGTGTTATTTAATAATTATTGTATATTTTAGTAACTGTTGATGACTTTACATATGTCTTTATCTTCTGGCTGATCAATCATAATATTATTCTGATTTTATTGTATTTAAAAGGTTTGAAAGTATGTGAATATAAATTTTTATTATGATTGGATTAATGGTTGTAGAATTATGAATATTTTTATAATTGATTTATTTTACGAAATTTTTTATTTTTATTTTTTTTTTAATCAGTTCAGTAAATTCAAAAAGCAATTTAAGCACTTTGATTAAAAGATAACTTTGGAAGTCTAAGTAATTTAGCAAATACAAAAATATATAAATACAAATTAATAGAATGCAAATTTTTATTTATTTTTATTTATATGTATATTGTATTTTATATTTTTAAATTTTGAAACTAATTATAATTTTATTTTATTTTTACAATATTGTTTCTTTTTTTAGTATTGTTATTATTTAGTATTTACTATTGTGTTAATATTATTATCGTTTCAATATTGCTATTATTTCAGTATTGTTACACTATTGTTTCAGTATTATTTCAAAAAGCATATAATATAACAATAGAGCCTAAAAAATAGGAATATCATATGTATTAATTATTGTCTGTAGCGTAGTTTAAGACTTTATTATTATTGTCTAAAACATAGTGAAAACTATACATGAAGTCAAAATAGATTATTTCGGATATCTGAAATGGTCAAAATGGTCAAAATCATTTTTTTGATACCTTTACTAGGCACATGCTGATGGTAAAGTTTAGCTGCATACCCTTCAACAGAATGATACGACTTACAATATATAATTACCACTATAAATCTCCTTTGATATATTGCAACTCAGTGTGAATTTGCGTTAAACCTAGATGAATAGGTGTCACTATCTGAGTAGAATGCCAAACCACTAAATCTCATGGTAAAGTACTTTAGTACCTGTCATCATTCACATTCATCATAATTACTAAAAAAAGGGTCAAGGATAACCTAATATGATAGCCTACACCATAGTTGCCTCACCATATATCAAAATCACCTCAAGAATCGAACTTAGGCCTCCAAACTCTAGTTGTAATATAGGCATCATAATAGTTAAAGACAGTGCAATATCAACTGCCCATAACCTGCGACTATTGTTCAATTCAAGTTATACAATGCCTACCATTGATCCTACTCTCACAGGTATCCTTTGTAAACAATGTGGCATTTGACTATTACAGTCTAGCTCCTTGATATATGGGAGCTTTGCAATAGAAAAGAAGGAAACTCTAAAAAAATTTTTTTTTAAGTTAATGTTAAATCTGAACTTATTTTACAAAAAAAATCATAATTAGCTTAGAAAGTAAAATTTTAATTTTTTTAGAGTTTCCTCCCTTTCTATTGCAAAGCTCCCATGTGTTCTAAACTCAATTAGTTCACTATACTTCAAGTTACTTACCATCATTACCTGTTATCAGGGTGGTATATAGACAAAATGACCTTACATAGCTTATGCCATAAGAGCTACCATCCTTTATGTAAACAACTATCAAATGGTCATCTTATTCTACAAATTTGTGATCTTTAATGTATATGATTTGTACACATCCTATAAAATTCATTTTCAGAATTGAATTAATAAATCCTATAGTAAATTAATACCATAATCTGCCTTGGCTAGAAGCTGAACTAGGATTTATTGCAGTATAACCTACAATAGAATCTCAATTGTTACTAACTAAGATAAGGTTGTCAGTTCCAGTTAGTCGAAATCATTTCTTTTTTTTTGATACTTTTACTAGACACGCGTTGATGATAAAGTTTAGCTGCATACTCTTTAATAGAATGATACAACTACAATATATAATTACCACTTTAACCCTCCTTTGGTATATTATAACCCAGTGTGAATTTGTGTTAAACTTAAGTGAATGGGTGTCACTACCTGAGTAGACTGCCAAATCACTAAACCTTATAGTAGAGTACTTTGGTACCTGTCATCATTTATATTTATCACAACTACTGGAAAGAGGGTTAAGAATAACCTAAGATGATAGTCTATATAATAGTTACCTCTCTATACATCAAAATCACCCCAAGAATCGAACTCAGGCCTCTAAACCCTAGTTGTGATATAGGTATCATAATGGTTAAAGACAGTACAATATCAACTACTTATAACTTGCGACTATTGTTCAATCCAAGTTATACAATGCTTATTATTATTCCTACCCTTATAGGTACACTTTACAGATGATGTGCCACTTGTCTATTACAGTCGAAATCATTTTAACTATTGGAGGTGAAAAGTTAAAATGGTCAAAATAATGTCATATCAAATGATTTTATATATAGAAAAAATCAAAAAAAAAGACGTACAATCTTGGTCAATATTGCTTCGATTCGTATAAAATAACTACCATTTAATTCCTGTGATTAGACGAATCCAATAAGCTAATATTAATTAATTTTGGATCATCCAATCTCGAGATAATCAAAATTGTATTATCGGCCAAAATTATGAATCAATAAATTCTACTTTAAATAAAGGAATCCTGGATTTTGAAATTTGATCGCAATATCTCAAGATAGGCTGATCCAAATCAATGAATGTTAGCTCATTGCATTCATATAGTTACAGGGAATCAAATGGTAGTTGTTTCATATGAATCAGAGCGATATTAACTGAGATCATACATTTTTTATTTTTTTTATTTTTTTATATAAAAAATCATGTGATATAATGTAATTTCGACCATTTTGACTTTTTATTTCGACTTCATATATAGTAAAGACATTATATATATTTGTTATTTTGGATCTGACTACTCAAGCTCTAATTAATTATTTTGTGAAGTATTATATAAGATGAGTTAAATGTTACTTTTTATAAGTATACTTTTGTATGTTAAGAAGTACCAGATTTTTAATTACTACTATTAAATAGTAGTTTCTTATACTTTGACATTTAACTTATTTGTTTCATGAAACATGTAATTAAATATTTCTTTAAACAAAGCTTGTTACCTCTTCATAGTATTTAAGATCAACATTTATAGATTAATTTATAATTAGCTAAATACAAGCTAGCTTATATTTTAAAATAAATAAATAAATTTATATATATATATACTTGCTTTTTAATGTTTTTGTTTTTATAAAAATTTTTTTTAATTTATAAATTTTAATATCTTTACAAAATGTCTGAATCTATTTCCCGTCAAGCTCGTGCTAGAAATAATATATTACTTGATAATATTATGAATTAAATGAATATAAAGAAGAAGTTTTATCAGAAGAAATAAATTTCTTAAATATAAACAATATAGGTTTTAATCCAAATAAACATCGAACTCAAAAAGATTATTATCTAAATTATTTATGAAAAAGTGTTTCTCTTAGTTCAGATGATTGTAAAACTTCTGTAAGAGATTTATTTATTTAAGCTTTAATTAAAGAAGCTAGAGTAATTAATTTAAATATATCTGAAATTCCTTTGAATTTTCTTTTATTAATTGATAATAATATAATTAATAAATTATCTATTAATAATAAAAATAATAAAAAATAGATTGCTTTTGGCCGCTGGTTAAATATGGTAGAACCTATTGAAAGAAATAATGTACATAATTACTTGAAATTAAAGTGAAATAAATTAAACAATGCTTTCATTTAAACCAAAGAAATTATTTTAAAGCTTACCAATAAAGATAAAATAAAATTAATTAATAAAACAAAAGGATATAAATCATTAGATGATTTAGAAGGATTTAATCATATAAAATACTCTAAATATATTACTGACTCAAATGGACAAACTTTAATTCATTTGGAAGAACTTAATA